TTGTTATTGAGAGTAAAGGTAGGAAAACTACTTGTCTAAGCGAAATCACACAGGGATTCTGTTTTTATATATATATAATTTATATATATATATTTATATATATTATATGCATGTGTATGTAGATGCTAATGAACTCGTTTTTACTAATACAAAGCCTTCTTGAATAGTGCTATGAATTAGTTTACAGATATATAATTAATTCAAATCAATGCCAAATTCTAGAACATCTTGTGCAGCATATGTTTTTAATATTTCCCTACATGCAAAAGAAAAAATAGTTAACTTAAAATCATAGCAATGCATATTCTCCCACTCTCTGCCACTCATTGGACGCCTCCAACAATAGGGAGTACATGAGTCCTAATGGTTTGAGCCCCCTGTAGACGCTTACACCCAGGCCCGGTGGCAGATGAAGGCCTTGGACAGATGGGCAGGAGTCCTCCTTCTCCAGGAACAATGGAGGCTAGAACCTGGAGGCCTACTGGGATGGGGACTTTCCAGTGGACAAGCTGGTCAGTGTGTTGTTGGCGTATCGACCGAGAGAAAGTTGATTCTATGAGGCAGGGCCGGTTCTAGACAATTTGCTGCCCTAGGCGAGATTTTAGATTTTACCTAGTTAACATTTATTTATCTATGCATATTTAGTTATCTCTCCAGTTTTAAACGATATTTTTGGTTTACTGTCCTATAGTATACATTGAAATGATTTCAAACCTGTTCATCCCAATAATTATAAAAGGAGTGCCTTGGAAATATTTGTTTACATAAATGATGATCAAAACGTTTGAGACCCACTGAGATAACTTAGAATAAAGTTAACTATCTAAACACTCAGAGTCCTTTACCTCACTGAGTCTCTCAGTCTGACAGGAGACCTCTCCCCCACCCTTGTTGTAGAATCATCTTCTTCTTATATCCGTTACCGCAGCTAGCACCAGATGCTAGTAATAACAACAGCGCCGGTACCTGTGCGCCCTCTCTCTCTCCCTCGTTCGCTCCCACGCTCACTCACACTTTGGCTGTGAGCTGTGGGCGCCTGATAAGCCAACATCCCCCACTTTCATCACTTACAGCGCCCATCGTACAGGGCAAATGGAAAGTGTAACCGGGGTGAAAAGGGTGTTACATTTACCTAATTATGAATGTTGTTACATCAAGGCCGAAAATTAGGATAAGCACAAACAGTAAAAAAAGTGTTTTTCTCTCCCAGAGCTGCCAGCGCAGCGCCCCCCCAGATCTGGCGCCCTAGGCGACCGCCAAACACCCTGGCCCTGCTACAAGGACAAGGATTAGGTAGGCCGCCCCAGTGACAGCCAACAGCCAAGGGGAGACACTGACCAAGGACGTGGAAGCAGATCTCAGAAGGTTTACCGTGCAGGTCAGGGTCCGTAACTGGAAACCAGTCCAGAGCCAAGTTCTAAAGAGTCTTGCACGAGTGGCAAGAACAAACTCATATACTGGCTCGGTTGTAGATGAGATGCAGCTGGGAGCCCAGGTGAGCTGAGGGGGTGGGAGTGGCTGGGTGAATGGAAAAGTACTGAGGTTCAGCAAGTAGGAAGGGAAGCAGACTAAGGCCCAATTCCAATCCACCCCCTACACCCTACGCCTACACCCTACCCCTACACACTACCCCTCCGTTTGCATGTTCGCACGGAGGGTCCGCCGCATTATGTGCTGTTCCAAACCAACGAGTGTGGAGGGGGAGTGGGTTATCAAGCCCTCAAACAGCGAGTCTGCATCGGTCTTGACTTCACGTGCTGCCCTACCTGACTGGACTCAACGCTGTTTGTGTCCGTCAGGAAACAAGCTGTTTACAAACAGTTCGAGCTAATTAAAGATGTTTGGAGTTTTATTTTAGTTATTAATTTACATTTGTTGTCCAAGAGATGCTGATCTGAAACCATTGTTACATACAGTTACGGCATTTCTTGTTTCTGCCGGAGAGAGGGGAGTTTGTTCCAAAGCTTGTATTTACACCCTCCATCTGAAAGGAGGGAGCCTCATTTAGGTGCGAGTGTCACTCCGACACGGAGTTCACTCTGTCACAGAGTGAAAGTGTGTAGGGTGTGGTTTGGAATTGGGCCTAAATCAAAATCCAAACACACAGACATCAGACACATTATGTTTCCAAAGCCATGTCGGGTTTACCGATATTAAGAAATAGTATAAATAAGGGACATCTTCCATCTTTATTAGATGTTGTTACTTCATCACAGAATTCAGACACATTTTTTTTGTATGAGAGTAAGGCAGATGATTGTTGTCTGTACACTGCAGATGATACAAAAGGGAAAGACATTGAATTAAACAATACACTAGACTAGAGCATGAGGTATTTTTTGTTTCTGAAATAAAAGACTTAACACTATAAGGACTGTACTTAAAACAGGAAGGTTGCTTCGGGAGATAATGTCTGAAAAGCTTTGATTAATTTAGCAAATGTCGTTTTTTTAGTTAGTAACAAATACAATGTACTATGGTTAAAAAAACAACAACTGAAAGTGCTTACATACCATTTGAGGTATAGTAAGTTGGAAATATACAAACACTTTGCAATCCAAACAGTACAACGGTAAATATGAAAAACACAAAGAACAAACATGGAGTATGACATAGCAACCTATGATATCCATATCTCAAAAATTCAGAAGAGAGAGTGGCTTTCCTAATTTGCATGCACCAAAGTTTGTTTGGAATTGAGGGCATCTCTGCCAGGCAACAGTAATTACAGTTTCTACACGAGCCGGAGCCACGAGCCTGCCTTATAAAATCTTCCAAATATCAGCAGGGAACACCTAGTGCAAGGTTGTCACCCTAGGGACACTTCCATTACGTGACAAAACGAAGAATATAATTTGATTTACTGTTTCGTTAGGCAACCTCTGTTAGACCTGCAGCCATACACAGCAGTGGGGGTGCATGAAGATTGACTACAAATGAGTCTGCTGACCTGCTGGGGTCGTACATTCCGGAAAACAATTTGTGCTATCATTTAGCTGTAGATATCAGGCGGTAAAATGTGTTCCGTGGCTGATTTTCTGACTAATGGATCAGGTGTGTACAGATAGCAGCCTCCAGATTTAACATCACTTCCAATCCCAGAGGGCAAAAGCATCTGAACCGCCAACACCTCTCCTGGAAAGTTTGGAAAAGGTATGAAGCAATGTGGAATCGGATGATAAGACCTCTGATATTTCTGATCTTTGACATCAAATGTATCTTTGGCAATAGTATCCATATTGTTTTTATTACAAGAACTTTATCAAGCAGAGCAATTGACTGCCTATATGTTGTACTGCACGCTCTATATACGCGCAAGTGGATTTGTGTGATTCTGTGCCTTTGACTTCAGTGAGGCACAGCCGGTAATTGATACGATCAAAAATCTTTTGTCATTTATGAGAAACTTCAATATCAGATAGAGCCGAACAGAAGTCTAATCTTTCAACAAGATTAACAAAGACGAGACAATGTTTAACATTTATAAAAAAAGGATAACAAAAGGAAGTACAAATAAAAAGAGGCAAGAAACGGGAAATTGCATTACATCTAATCTTCTTTGCTCATAAAAAATAAAATAAATGACAGAAGCACATGAATATCACTGTAACACAGCACAATTGACGTACCAGATTAATTATTTTAATGAAGGCCTTTCTAATGCATACTTGTTATCTCCCTTGGTACTCTGAGATGGGAATAACAGTCGTACACAATAGTCTACATTCTTTTCCCCCTGGTTTGATAAGACAAAGATAATGATAGACGGCAGATTAGGTCGCATTAGTCTAATTATATCTTGCTGTTTAGAATTATATATATAATTCAGTGTGACCATATTTGAAAGGACTGCTCTGTTCCTATCCGTGTGACAGGGACACATTCTGTTTAATCCTGCACGTTATTTAAACAGCACTGCTAGCTATATTTTATAAAAGTTGAATTGTCACAACTTCATAATGTCAAACTGATAAAGCACATTCTTAAGACAGTTTATTTTCTTCAAAAGCAAAACGGCAACTTGTATAGGGATGAAAGGTTGCCTTCAACATCAGAAACATTTTAAAACTAAGGAAAAGCTGCTGGGGAAATGATAAGCATTTGACTTTTCTTTCCTCCATGTTGTGTTTTCTTATCTTACTGCTGTCTTAGCGTGCATGTTCAGTTCTAAAGCTGTAGTAATAGAATGTTGAGTCAAGTCGGTTAGAAGTCCATGTCGTGCTTACCACAGCAGCAGGAAACACAATGGAACAAACAATGTGTGCTTTAAAGGAGCCCATGGCCAGAATATGCTATGTGACAAAGAGGGTCACTGTTTGATGAAGCATAAGAGATTCAACGCAGCCTTCCTGTTACTTTGACAATGGGTCCAGTTGTATTTTCTACATTTACATTACAATGTTGGATATTTCTCTTCAATGTTCAAGGCTTTCCACGAGCTGATGAAATGTTGTCATTTACATATTTGGTGCAATAACTTTTAGTCAAACCCATAAGAAACCAAGGACCAAAACAGACCAGGTGATTCATTTTAGGGTAAATTCACAGTAGTAACCTACCTCCATAAAGTTGAGGGAATCACAAGACACAGTTTGAACAAACGATAGTTCAAAAGTAGTAGATTTCTTAACTCTAGCATCAAACTCCAAAATAACTTGGCTCTCATAATGCCAGCATTTGCAACTTTTGTTAGTTCCCCAATGTCTTGTAAACTCTTTTAAACTCAACACCTCAAGTTTGTTAAACACATTTAGTTTGTAGCCTCCAAGCCATTGGCTGAATAACCCTGATGACATCACTGCAACATCATTAGGGTTCTTTTCTCAAACTTCAGACAGCTCTCTCTGAAGCCAACGGAGCCATTATCCAATTATCATATTACAAGTAATTCGCCCCTCGTTGGTGTATAAAAATGGTAGGAAGGTCCCATTAACAATTTGAATATCCAATGTGCAAGGTTTGATTGCCCTCAAGTTTTCATCTGCAAAAGAAAACCACAGCCAATCAGTGATATTTATAAAAATATATTTCACAAAGTAGGAAACAATACAGGGTATCTTAGATTACAGTACAGGGAGTAAATAATTGAACATACACATTTATAAGCAGTAAAGCACAGTACAAAATATGATCTGCATGTAGGACTATTCCATATATATTGTTAAGTCTACCGAGAACTGCCATAATACTGTATCAGTACAAACTGAGTATGCACGCAGCTGTAGTGCCATTGAAATTCTCATTATGTGCAAGAGCTAACGTGCAGAGACAAACCTACCACCTCATTGAAAGCTAATGACATTAGCGGTAACTCTATGTACATTACAAGTCTTTTATATTGATATCATACAGTGTAAGCACAATATGCACATAGTCTGGATTTGTGTTTTCCTTTTTCTTGGGCTAATGCAATCTGTGTTCCCTAAATGAGATTTGATGTTTAGGGAGAGTCACATATACTCTGGTATCAATTGGACTATTGTGCTCAGACGCTCACTGGCTGTACCTCAGAATATATGAGATATATTTTACACAGAATTAGCATGTGTCAGAAAGGTCCCATTCCTGCAGTCCCAATTAATTCGATCGTCTGTATTGTTACTTAGAGCTCTTGTTTGCTTTGCTTACATCTAGTCTACATTATCAACTGCAATAAATTCATGATATGGTTTGGCTGTTATGAAATAGTGTTCAAGTGAAAAAACAGCTGAATGTGAAAGAATCTAAAACACACTCACTTCAAATTGTCAGCACAGAATAAAAGATGATTCTAATAACAGAAATTCAAAAACTGAGAACAATAATGAAGAATCAACACATCTCTTGTCAAAAAACAGTAGATTACAATTGTATTTAATGTTGCTTCTGTAAAAAGAAGGCCTCAGAGTTTCTACATTTCTCTTTTTTGTCTTCGCGTCAGTCTTTTATAGGCTAGTAACACTTGCGATCCACACCTGTAGCGTGTAAATACAAAGAGTTGTATAAAGCAAACCTCTCTGGGCTTTAGATAGTATATAAATGTGGCCACCGTAGAACATATCAAATTATAACAAATTCACCTTAAAGCCAATACTGGTTTGTCTTTTTGCCTTTTTCAAATCATACATACATTCATCATTGTAATGTAGACCATATATTGCTTTTTCATTGTCACTTTCTTCATATCGCCGATCAGTTGGGTGGCCTAGGGTGACATCGGACAAGAGTCACTCTGCACTTTCTGAGGTCCAACTTTCTGTCCATGAAATGTCCGCTTCAGAGAACCCAACAATATTCGTTATTCCCTTTCATCAGGCAACTACCAGCAATCCCAGGGCTGTTCTGCTACTGGCAGTCTCAGCAATTGACTAACACCCATAATACTGCTAGACACTCCACAACGGAATCTAAGTTACACTCCACAAGAATCATAGATCTCCTAATAAAGACATTGTTTGGCTCAACAATTACAATGCGCTTGACGTAGTGGATGACGACTGCTATACCTCACTCTAAGAAGAATACAAAAAGTTGGCCTGCCTTGTTATTAACAGTTTTTTTTTAAAACACCAGTTTCTAAAAGCCAGCAAACTCCCTAGCGTTTAATACACAAGTATGTGGACAGAAAAGAAATTGGAAAGGTCTTTTTTTCTAACCAACCAAAGGTCAGGTTTCGCGGTCACTCTCGCCCACTGAGTAGAGCTCCCCAAGTCTTCTGAAGCGTGGGCCCCACTCTCTGAGATAGTCATAGTTCTGATCCGAGTCTGATGATGCCGTTTCCAGTGAGCTAAGTGAACCGGCCATGGATCCCCGACCTTCGTATCCATAGATCTGGATGGAGTCGTAAGGCGGCGCTGTGGCATCATTGTCTGCCTCATGGAGCCGTACATTGATGAATTCGTCCACATCCACGCCATTTGGACCAGAATGCTGTCCCGCCCTGGGCATGAACTGCAGGTCGGGCTTGATGTCCTTGCGCGGTAGGTAGCCGTTGACGCCATCCGGATTCTGCAGCGTGGCGATGTCGAAGGCCTCCGTGTCTTCCTCGCCGCCTCCTTCGTCGTCGTAACGGATGATATTCTCCCTCACATCTTCGTCGTCCTTTATAATCAGAGGCTCATTCTTGTGTCTCCTCAAGGTCACAAATAGTACTACTATTACTGTCAGAAAGACGGAGGGACAGAAAGGAAGATAGAAAATAGAAGTCTCGGTCAAGCTTTGGCAGGTGCATTTTCTGTTAGTACAAGCAGATCATGGAAGTTTTAACAATAATGTGGCAATGCAAAAATAAAGAAACTCCTCACCCAACAGCAGTATAATGCAGGCCAGGATGGCGATGAGAGCTCCCATACTCAGGCCGATAGGTAAGACGTAGGCCTCCACGTTGCAGGACTGGACGATGCCATCCTTACTGCATCCACAGACTCGGATGGTCAGGGTGTTGGTGCTGCTCATTGGTGGATTCCCGTTGTCCGTCACAATGATTGGCAGGAAGTACATTTCCTGTTTCTGTCGCCGGAAGGTATCATGCTTGGCCAGGACGCTGATTGAATTGTCTGTCAGAGAGAAAGGTAAAGCCAGGGATGAAGATGTGTGAAAACGCCATTATTATTCATGTTAGCATCAGACCGAAGTTCTAGTTTTAAGTGGTGTGAAAATCGATGCAGAATGAGGGTAAACTAATTTCCTATCAATCGTCAGTAGGCTTTCTAACACTCTTGAATTCCAATGCCTTTTTTGTCCACACTCCAATTTGGGAATTATGAAGAAGGGCGAGCCAAAGTTGGCTATTCCCCTTTGAGAGCCGAAGAAATGAAGGGACCATGCAGGCGACACTGACTTAGAAGATGGCACATGTCGACCCAGAAAGGTGCCAGCTGCTCTTTGATGACACTTCTGTGAAGCTGTCTGCTCATTAGCTGACTCTCCTTACCCTGATCACATTATCAAACACTTGCATTCCCATAAGAATCTACTCCTGCTGATCTTATGGAAAACGTACAAGAATTTCTGATAGTGTAACCTTTGTCTATCTGCTTGAGGGTGCACTGAAGAGGGAGGGTTAAGAAGATGCTGTGATATACGCAACAAAGAGAAGAGCCGTGCTGAGAGAAATTTGATCAAAAGATGCAAAGCCTCATCATATAATTATTTGCTCTGCACAGTCTGTAATTCAAGTGAACATATGCTCAGATTTATTTTCTGCCACAAAGGGGTACGCTCTGCTTTATGAGCATCAACTTGTCCGATTTCATTTGGATCATTCCGCAGTGCATGGTGAGTTTGCAAGTATATACTACTGAAGAAATCCATCAGGGCTCGTTCTCATATACAGGTCATTTTTATGTTAACTATAGATGGTAAAAATAGAAGTAAACATTTCCTGTCTGTCAGCCAATTGACAGGGAAGGTCTGCTACTCAAAGAGAGAGGTAGGTGTGCAGATAACCTTCACATTGATTGAACTTACAGGAGTTATAAAAATTCTCTTTTTTACTATCTATTATATTTTAAGGTGCAATAAAAGTGTTTCATCTAGCAGCTGATGGATTCTGATGAAACTCTGTACATTGAAATATTAATCATCATCATAACAAAAGCTCATTTGAATAAATGTTTGCTACAAATAGCTTTGTGGGGAGGTTCTAAATGACAGCATTGACACTAACAGTCTGAAACAATTTTGTTGAAGTCTCTTAAGATTATGTGAGCAACTAAGCACAGCTGTGGATTAATGCCAAATTAGTAGCAATATGAACGAATGAGAAGGAGCAAAAGGGGTAATGTTGGTACAAGTAGTATAACTTTGTTTAAACTTATCTGTTTTCTTTCTTTTCGTTTTACTGCATACTGATGTTATGGATAGTTGTTCTAGTAAATGCAGTGGTTTCATGCATACGTAATTTAATATATGGTACAGTATTGCATGAGTTTGTGACACAGCTATGTAATAATCGGTCCCTACTTAGTTATTCACTCTTTTAACCTGAAGAAGAGGACATTTTCTTTATTTTTTCAGTTGTTCTCTCTGTTATTGTTCCACACAGTACAAATGCACACATGCATAGGACTTATACAAACAGGTCTGGATACAGATACACATGCATTTCTATATGAACAGGTGCCAAAGGGAAGAGGCTCCCAGGATTTCTGGCACCAGGGAACAGTTGGGGGTTTGGTGCCCTGCTATAGGACATCTCGGCAGTGCCAAGAGGGTGAACTGGCACCTCTCCAGCTACCATGCCACAGTCTTTATTTTTGTCCGATCGGGACTTGAACCAGCGACCCTTCAGTTCCCAGGACAAGCTACTCCCGCCTGTATAGCATACTGAGCATTTTAAGTCAAACTTAAAAAATCCATCCCTTTAGGCAATCATTGTCAACATGATTTTTATATTGTTAATATTTGTTTCACTATATAGCTTACGGGGTACAAATATTTTAGAGATAAAACAGAAACTCTCCCTTTAGCCTCCCAGCCTTCAAGTAGATGGAGTGACACAATAAAAGCAAACTTGCACTGCGAAACGTAGCTGACAAGCTAAGAACATTATTGGGTTGGCAGTGGTATATAAAACAAAGGACTACAACAATTAACTTCTAAACTGGCGGACACTGATATTTTTGCGGCTAGGGCTTTTCTTTACACTGTTCACGGTGCTTTAGCTGATTAGCTAATTAGCCTGCAGTATCTGCAATCATTAGCAAGCATTTTTCCCAAGGTGGATGTATGTTTCGTTGCTCATACAGCAAGACAAGTTGCAACCAAGACACGTCTCCGTGATTGTAGGACAAGAGTACATTAGCCACAAAGCCAAAGCTAATTTGGCTTTTTTGTGTTTTGTCATGGCGGTTGACCGGCTTCAGAGTCAGTGTCGCTGTCTACCAAGGAATAAAAGATCATGCATACTGCCTCATCCTAATGTAATATAGATAGTTTTGTGAAGAACAGTGTCGCAGCCGTTCTAACTCCCAAGTCAATGCATACGGCAACTATAGGCAAGAGCACTACAGATTCAACAACTGTCAGAATCTCTTGTTATGGTTGACGAAAAGTAGGAAGTCAGGTCAGAAAGAAGTCTAGGGTGGCTGGATGGTTCAGAACACTTTTACCAGGAGGCTGGTGCGGTTGTCCTGTGTGAAAGCAAAGGTTAACGTTGACATACTTTAATTTATTTAGCCTATGCAAGTTAAATACTGTATGTACCTCAACTTCATATCAAACATACCTATTACCATTACATAAACCTTGTCAAGTAATTTGGTTGCCTAAACCCAATAAAGTTGTTTGCTGATGCTATTGGGACACCGACCGAGCTGCCGTATTTTACGAGATGTGAGTGATAAAAATTGCCACAGGTTACAGTATTGAATAATATAAAAACCTGACTTGACAAACATCAGTAGAGAGTTGTGATAAATTCACTAACTGATTTAAAGTAATAAAAAACATTTTCCACCACGAGATACAGATTATACCAGATTAAGTAATGAGCAAATAGTTCTAATTAAATGAGAAAGGGGGTATTTTGTTTGTTGTTTTACATTACACTGCAATATTATTTTATAATTTCTTAACACAGTTCAAATCAGTCTGGAAAGGTTTTTTTATCAGCCATATTTCTTGGCAGCATAGTGAATGTATGTTGCTGCTGGCCTGTGCTGCGACCCCGCCTGGTGAACCCCTGAGTCAGAGTGCTTGGTATGTTATACAGCTGGTCAAAACCTTCGCCTTCTTCCTCAGTGTGAGCAGCCTCTAACCTCTTCACTGTACAATCCCTACAATTAAACCCATCATCGCAAACAAAAACAGCCCACGGAGGTTCACAGGAGCCTGACGCTCTTCACTCAAGTGTCTCCCACAGCTGCACATTCAGATAGAAATAGTCACTGAAGTGTTGGGGGATATGGTGCGACGGGCTTCTTGTCTCTCTTTGCAATCGGCAATACCGTAGACAAGTGGTTGGTGCAGCATGTAGTATATATAGAGCGGAACTACAACATATATTTACTGTGGTTAAAGACTAGTGAGAGGGCTTTTTGTTGTTTGGAATAACGTAGGTCTGTGTTTATGAAGAATCTGAAAACATTTCTAGGGGGGATTTATCTGTAACATCATCTTAAGAAACGTTGAAATGTCTTCTTAACAAAAGGACAGGGTTCCAGGTCCTGCATTATTTATATCCTTTCAGGTTGATCCGCAGTTAAGAGTATTTTGCAGCAAGTAAGTGCTTGTTAACCATCTCTCCATTTTCAGGATTTTGCATGTTCTCGACAGTCAAAATACGATTAAGTCCCTTCCATTCAAAAGAGGTAAAATATATATTTATATATTTGAATTGCCTGTGATTTTGACACTCATGTTCCACCTTGCTGAAGTACCTGTTTCAAAAGTAAAAGTTTTTTTTTTGTTATCTTCGTCAAAAAATTGCGAGCCCATTTGATGACCTACATTTTATGGACTCTTGCAGTAAGTTAGCCTGCAGCCTCTACGCCGAAACAGAAGGCTAGTACCATATGAAGATTATCTGCCCAGAGCTGAAAACATTACACAATGTCATCATGAACACAGCCTGTTCGGAGCCAGTTATGGAGGAGAGGCAGGCGAAGAGGAATGGAAGACAGAGCGAAAACGGCAAATAAACCAATCAGAGTATTTAGCAAATAAATGTAGTACCATCTGCCACACTGCAACAGCTCAGGGAAGGAAGTCACCCTACATTGAGCTGTGAGACTACCAGGAAAAGCCATTTGGATCCCATTCATTTAGTTTCCCTCAAAACGCACTGGGGAGTAAAAAAGAAGCTGGTGTCCAGACAATTTCACATCTGCTAATTGTGAGCTACACTGATCCACCACATTTCATCTCGAGTACGGCTAACACGCCAAGGGTTAGCGATTAGCCTGGAAAGCCATTAAAGAAATGTAGAGAAACTTCACTCAAAGAAGTAATTTATTTTTGTTCCTCACCTTGGTTGTTTTTTATAGTAAAATTGGGGTTGTTGAGCATCTCAGGAACTAGACGATAGTCGAAGTAGTGGCCCTGGATTGGGTCGTCTTTGTCCACCGCGCTGACAGTCTGGATCACCTGTGTTGAAAGCAGAGAGACAAGAAGATTATACAGAGAGGGACTGGAAGTCATTAGAGGAGGCAGCCTATTCATTACTCTGTTTTTGCCACCGCAGATTGCCTCAGTCTAATACTGGCTGCATCACACCTGATGAAATATATGCCCTATTCATTCCCGGAGTTTGAGATTATTATCATTGAGGTCCTGTCTAGTCTGGAACTCTTTTCAGGCTCCTGGCTCTATCTGATAATCCGTCATCATAGGTCTTATCGTGCCGTTATGATTGATTGGAAATTAGAATTCTTTTTTTTGGCTCCTCTTTTTGATCAGTCCTTCCAATAAAGCTTCCTATTGTACGTGCATAGGTCCCTCCAATGAGGTCGATTGATGAGAAGGATAATGCTAAGTACTTGTCTAGAGTGTTTTGGCTTGGGTAACCATTGTGCCATCTGGAGGAGGACATGAAAGGCAGTCTTGAATTACGATCCACTCTGATCAATCCTGACCGCTCTCATTCCGCCTTTTGCTTTGCGCACACTGTGAAGGGAGAGCTAGGGCAGGGGAAAAAGGGACTGTACTCCCACCTCGGTAGTTTCCCGGTGAAATAAATAGGCTATAACTCAATGTGGCCAATCATTACAGGGGAGGAAAGAGAGACAGAAGCAAAGGGAGTGAGAGAAAGAAGATAGATCAGTGGTTTGATGAATGAGCCACTTCTTTTCTTACCTGTCCAGGTTTCCCATTTTCACAAAGGAAGGCCTCGTATTCGGTGGCAAATTCAGGCGCATTGTCATTAATGTCCATTACTCGGATGGCAACGATTGCCCTCGATATCTGACTGTGATTTCCTAATATAGATAGATAGATAGATAGATAGATATATAGATGGATAGAAAGAAAGGAAATCAAAAAAGGGAGAGACAAGAGGAGATAAATAAGAAAAGACAATCAAACTGTAAACAAAATAAGGTTACGCATGAAATCCCAGGTAAATTCTGTGACCTAGTTTTAATTTCCTTTATTTTCCCTCCTTATTTCTCCCTTCATTTCCTGAGCTGATGGGAGGACACATGATAAGTCACATCAATATACATTTCAGCGGGTATCACATGCATAACAGAGTCTAGGCACCAGAAAAGAAAGAACAAATTCCCATTCAAAGTGCATTTGAAAATCTCCCTCTACACTGTCATGTTTAAAACATCAGGGTTAAAACATGCATATTAATAAGTCATTGGTAACTGAAGTCTAAAAAGACAATAAAAGGCAGTTTAATTAGATTGGATTTTGATTTGAATAATTTATCTCTGGTAATTGACAGTCCCTTTCGAGAGTCCCCATAAACGTTGGTGTTTATTAATCAGCAGTGGAAATGCCAACTTTTAAAGCAATTAATGTGGGCCCAAGAGGGTTGTGCCACTTTAGCCAATGATACTGTTGTGTTTTAATTTTGACTTCTTTTTATTCATTTACTTACCCCTACTGTCACCTTAAAAGAAGAATGAATGGCAAGTGTATTGTCTTGTTTTTTTTGGGGCATCCTAGGATCTCGTTTGCAGTAAGACTTTCTGTCATGGTAGCCAATAGTAAGAACTCTCTTGCCTAATATCAAAGGCTTTTTTTTAAAGTGGCCCTTTAACTGTGACATGCTTTAATGTTTTCTCATACTGCCTGTGCTGCAGCACCTCTTTTCACCCTCTGTCTGAAACCAGAGCCCAGTCTGCTCTGATTGGTTAGCTGGCTGGCTCTGTTGTGATTGGTCAACCATTTAGAGATGTCCCACTCCTATCACGCACAATTTGTGGTGCTAGCCACTAAAATATTGAGTGTTACATAGTGATGTCACTATGTTACGGAAGAAAACAAAGGAGTCCAATGGAGGTGTTTCAGGCAGGGGGGGGGGTTTGAGAAATTAGTCTTTGCAGACCATTATCATGCACAGAAACCTATAACACACTACAGGAAAAGGGAAATCCCAAAAACCATAATAGGGCCTCTTTAAATTAGTAATCATGAGCAGCAAGACATTTTTTTATATAGAGTGGCCAGTGTGATTTCAAGATAATGATAATTTGGAGTTACGTTTATTTCCCAAGAAACTTGTTCCTACATTATTATTATGTTAAGCAAATGCACTCATTAATGCCAGAGAAAAAGCATGTAGGGTTTGTGTATAGTACCTTTTGTTAGCTACAATAAGCTAGTCTGGTAAACAACTTTACCAGACAAATATACATGTTTTTCTATTAATTCTAATTTATTTCAAATAAAACCTTAACATAGAGCAGTGGACAGAATGCCCAAGGAAAAAAGGCCCCTGGACAGGCCACTTTAAAGAAGAAGGGGTAAACAGGGAGGAGAGTGGAAATTGACAGGCTGATAGACGGTGATAGATGGATTAGGGCAGAGGGAGACAGGGAGACAGAACCCCCCCCCCACCCTACAAAAGTGACTTTCCCCCGGCAGCAGACAGGGAATAGAGTCTGATTAGTCAGATGTCAACCGGTGCGAGGCGGCAGAACGTGCCTCCGTTCGGGCCGCAAATGGCATCAGGATAGAACTGGGAACACATCTATTCCTCTTCACGCCAGAGAAGACACAGACTTCCCTCCCATCCGTGAAGAATAGCAAAACTGCCTTGTATATTTTGACAAATTCCTATTAGGTGTTCTCAGAGATGCCACTATCTCGAGCCACAGTTACTTTGCCAGGAGGCATGACAACATGCTTTAAATGTATGGGTGCGAGAAAATGACAAGGCAACGGCTTATCAAATGAGACACATTCAACTCCTCCAACAGGCTGCTACCATGGGGGAATGTGTGTGTGTGTGTGTGTGTGTGTGTGTGTGTGGTGTGTGTGTGTGTGTGTGTGTGTGTGTGTGTGTGTGTGTGTGTGTGTGTGTGTGTGTGTGGTGTGTGTGTGTGTGTGTGTGTGTGTGTGTGGTGTGTGTGTGTGTGTGTGTGTGTGTGTGTGTGTGTGTGTGTGTGTGTGTGTGCGTGCTGCATGGCCAAAACATCATGACAACATTTTTGCATTCACTTCATTCTGTCAATTAACGTGTGTTTCCTTTGATTAAGGAAATGAAAGGACAGATAAAGGATGCGATGGCGAGAGGAAAGGGGGTGGAAAACGACGGGGGAAAAAAAGAGTTACAAGCTGTGTACATTTCTATTCCAATAGCTTTAAGGGGTACATTAAGCTTTATCACAACATACAGCCCCCCTGAAACAATCTGTATGCAAATAAAGCCTTACATATGGTTTGAGCTGTTTGTAGCTCTGCCGGCAAGATTTTCTACGTAGTCATTGAGTTTTGCGGTTCGCAGATGTTCTTTAATCTGTAATGGATGCTGGCATTGGAGCGATCCACTCCGGAGCATGTCTTTAAAACTGTTTATTTGATAAGTCTTAATGTTCTTGCACTTCCACAAATTGACTACTGAGCTGTTTAATTCAATCAAAACTCAGCAAATTAACAAATGTAATGCCTCTGTGGATTCAAATGCTAATTGTTTGTGCCATACTTTCAGAGCGATTAGAAGCGCCCGTTTACAAAGTGCTATAGTGTTGAGCAGAGGATTGTGTGTAGCAGGTCAGTGATTCCTTTGACAAAGGCAACTTATGAAGTCGAGGAAGGGGATATTGTACGTGTCTCCCTGCAGTTCCAAGTTTTAAAATATTGCGTGTCAATGCATGTCTAATAGTATGCTGATTTTCAAAAATAGGGCATTACAATTCAGGAGGAATGGTCTTCACAGCAGGGGTGAGCAGAGTCAGGGGTCTACTTACGGACTTCTGTGGCGGTCACTGTGATGTTGTGCCACATGTCCGTCTCCCGGTCCAGCGGTTTGGCCAGTGTGATCTTCCCGTCGTCCACGTTGATGTTGAACTGCCTCTCCAGGTCTGTGTGCCGATCGATGAAGTACCTGCAATTACAATCAATCATCAGAAAGCCCCCACTGCAGCATCGTTGGCAATCCTTTGTGTAATGTGGCTAACAGGGTCCTATCCAGCAGGAGAAACATGTACATACTGTAAAGGGAAATTAAAATGTTAAGAGGTCTGATTACTATAATTTCCTACCAACAGCAGCCAAGGTCTGAACCTCATATTGTCTAAATTGCACTCCATCCTGTCCATCAAATACAATCAGCCATGTACATTTTCATATCATTTAAACAATATGTATTTAAAAATATCTATAGGGTCCTTTTACCTAGAGACACATTGAGCATACAGTTTATGACAGTTGTACCTTTACAATAAATACACTGAGTCCCAGCACAATTAATGGTAGGCCTACATTAATAGTATAATAAAATAATTTAAAATGACCTATTTTTATTGCATTTCTTTTATACTTCTTATCCTATACTGTAGATTAACAAGCCTGCGATAGCCCTTCCAGTAGTATGAATCTTCGGATGAATGTAGTATTTTCCATTCTGTCGTGCTAATGGGGTAGCCTGGAACAGTACCTGGTCTTAATACAGTCATAGCGTAAAAAGCTGATAAGTCATGCCAAAAATGGTCAAGATTGTGTAGTGTTACTTTGGTTGGAACAATGGACTATATACAAGAAGTGGTCATAGTCAACATGACATCACACATTGTTTTCTGGACTACAGTACAAAAGACTTGAGTTGTACATGTTGACACCAGAGGGTCGTGCTAAGTACAACCCAATGCTAAACAAGACAATTACTAGAAGTCACTTTAATGAAGTGAAAACACACTGTGAAAGCGTTAAAGATTTAGGGCTTAATCACACCTAAGCGGCCTGTCAATCACAATGTTGCCACGCCCTAATGCACACCCTGCTTTTTCGTATTTTTTCGTCTAAATACAACTATCAATTACAACATGAAGACTTAAAAAAACAGCTTGTTAAAAATGTTTTAACGGAGGTTATAAATCAAGTGAGAATTAAGGTAATTTTCTCATAGACTTCTATCAAATCGGACTACTTTTTGCAAGCGGTGGAGTTGCCCCCTCTTAAATAAAAGAAAGAAGGGTCAGGGTCTGTATCTTGTTGCTCCATGCTGTCAACTCAATCTACTTTCTCTCACACCTCTAATCCTTCTGGCAAACACTTTACGCACGGTAGAGCAACTGATTTGATGGCTTCAGTTGATCAAACTATTACCGTATTACATAAATAGGTTTCAGTTCAGATCACGCCCTGCCATATGGACTGCATAGTGATTTACATAAAAAGAAAGTAAGAAATCAATATTATCTATGGAATAATTACAGCCTAAACCTGAGCAACAGAGGGCATTAAAGCCTAATAAGGTCAGAGAAGCCCTCCCCCCCAATCGTTGCTACACCTCCCTCATGCACAGAAAAAAGACCATTAGTACGTGTCATGTCAGAATAAAAGATGGGGTGTTGTTAACCCTGTTTGGGATCTGTCAACACTCAATGACCCCCAAAGGCTTTGCATTAATGAGTTAGAACAGCATTGTGTCACACATGAGGTTTAACAACACAGTGCGGGGGAGGGGGGTAATTGATGTAATGGAGATGACCGGCTTGTTTTGTGTGACCTTGTCTGATCTAAATGATTTTGTTTGCTTTTTAAACCACTAGCCATTTGTAGGTCATGAAGCAACACATTAAGTAATCATTTCAAAAGGAGTAGACTTTTAAATAAGTCAAACACAGTCAAAGAATATATTTGTAAGAAATTCCTTTTCTTGATTCAGTCTCTCTGTGACCCTGCCTCTGACACACTGACTTTTTGAAACTTCTATTAAGGATACAGTGGCAGTGACATACAACTCCTCAGGAAAAATTGGAATGCACATGAAAGAGAATGTGCGGGTGCTACTGGAAGCTGTGAAATCGCTCCTTCATGTAGCGACGCGCAGAGCCAGATTCTTTGGACGAGCCCACACGAAACTGAGTTTAAAAAAGGATCCGTCATTATGGGTCATCTTTGGCTTCATTTGCCATTATGCGTCACAAATATCCTACCCACCTAAAACACAAGGCCACGTGTTTCCGTTCCTCCAGGACAAACTGTCTCCCTTCCTTTCTCCTTTTTCTTCTATCTTCCCTCACAATCTCGTCCCCCTCTTACCCACTCGACAGTCACAAAGTATTTTATTTTCTATCCAGCTGGGTCTCTAGCTCTCCCTAATCCAATCCCCCTATCCAATTCTCCACGGCCCCCCTGTCCCCACACAGCCGTCCCTCTACACCAGGCGCCCCGCTCACCCTTCCCTCCTAACCCTGGGTCTTGCAGCAGAGCCGCTCATCCCTATCAGTGCAGACCTGTTGGCAGGAACCCTCCAGTGTTGCTATAAAGGGAAGAAGGGATACAGAGAGATGGAAAAGAGAAAAGCACAGAAAGCCACAATAACAACAATTTATATGAAGGAGGGCGCTGCTTATACAAGAACGGGAGGAAATGAAATAAATAAAACCGCTGGCCCAGATTCCAATTGTTGGGGAGATGTACCGAGCCGTGACATTTCCATTTTTGAGATGAAATGGTGTAAAATCCTCTAGACGCCGGGCTGGGAGAGGTCCATAAGGACCCACTCCCAGCCCACAAACCCTCCCTCACCCACCCCCCCATCTCTCCCTCTCTTTTCTCTCCTGCCCTGCAGACGCAAAGCACTTTCAAGACAGGCAGACAGCAGCAAACCACCTGGGAGCAGCCTCTCTCCCGCAGACTGAGTGGATCCCAGTCAAACTCTGACAGCCTCACGTGGAAGCGAGGAGACAGACCCTGAAATGTTCTGCCACCTGTCACTCAAACTGACAACGTGATGTGAAAAGAATTAAAAGCAAATAAAAAATGATATCCAGCGTGGTACGTGCGCGGTTTCCCTGAGTGTGATGTAGTAATGTGTTCGCGTGTGACAGTGTGTGTCGCCTCGTTTCAGCTTTGCTTTACTTTACACATGACTTTAAACGCCATTGGGATGACCTCAGTCTAACGGTTTGACCTTGCAGGGAGGCAGTTTGTAGAAAATATTGGAAACCACCAAAATATATCGTTTTTTAAAGATGATTTTTTGGCCAGTTTATCCTTTTTCAGAAATACAAATTTGAAAGGGGGAGATAGAGGGGATGACCTTAGAGGGGATGACCTTAGGCGGGATTAGAACCTGCGTCCTCCGCAGCACAATTTATTCAACCTCAATATAGAAACATAACAAGCTATTTAAATGCATCAGTGTGACAGAAGCTGTTCACTGCATAAAGATAGATAAGCTGTAATCAGTGACATCATCATTCTTTTTTTCCTCACTCATTTACAGTTCCTTGGCTCATTGATGTGGCCTCTCTGCTCTGTTTTTGATCTGTCAATCAAACTGTGGCCCGGACGTCTTCTCTGTTTGAGTTTCTGTGGGTGGCAATCTTTTGTCTCTTTAGTCCCGGTGGCTATCATTGCTCATGCTACCCAGTGATTTTTCGCTTTCCATCACATAATGCGTGTCATAGGATTTTCTCCATTAATATTTACCAAGCGCTGCGTAGCAAGTGTTAACGCTTTCCGCAACTAAATCTTGTACATTATACAGGTATATTATAAAGGTAATTTTACATGTAATATAAAAAGGAAGAGCAAAAATATGTAATAATATGTTCCAATGGATAGGCCTAATGAACCCAACAACATGCTCACTATAGCAATCCACAACATCTGCACCATAGAACCTTGAGCATTGATCACACTGCTGTATAATGGGTTGTGTTTCACAATGAGGTGCAAACTGACACTGATTGAATCTGACAAAAAAAAACAAGAAATTATCTGTGACCTCTAGCTTTAGGGATTCATGTCAATAGGAGACATTTCTAATTTACTGAAAATAGCTGAGAGTGGGATTGCTAGTGCATTTAGAATCAAGGACATTATTTCTCTCAAATCCCTTGAAGTGAGATTGTAACTTTTATAAGCCAGGAAATTGACAGTAACTTCACAAAAACAAAATTAATTTTCTATTAAAAGTTTGCAAGAGTCAGTTTACACAAGCCCTACATCAATCTGCTTACAATCCTGATTGTAATTAAGTGATTAATATTGTCTTTAACATCTTATAATTTATTTGTTCCATTTATATTATATCATAATTTGTGTATACTGAGAAAGTACATCCAAATTGTAATGATGTACTTACTGTATGACATAATACTGTGTATGTCATTATCTGAAAAGGTTAAGCGACCAAGAAAAGGATAATTGTGCGCCTTCGTATGTGAACAAAGCGTGATTTTGTCACCTTGAGAGTATAATCTGTGTGAGTGTCTGGCGAGTTGGCAGGAATGGATACAAAAAAAGAAAAACTCCTTCCCTTTTTTTTCTGCAGGGACAAAAATGCTTCAGTGACATTCTTGCTTGTTATAAGGTCAGCAACTCTATTGGGAGTACCACAGATTTAGGGTTAGGGTCAGGCTAACCCTAACCCACATTTTTGGCCGTGCCCTGAATGCTGACCGGAAATAGAAAAAGACAAGTCCTCCAACTCATACGACCAAATAGGCCGATTGTTCAAGCGCTTAATACGACCTATAATCACGTTTTAAAGTTTTCGACCTCTAGTGCTCCCGTTGATTGCAAACGCTACAGACGGTCGTTTATTCACAAATAACCCTCTCTGTAAAATCCTAAATTGTAGGATAGTTTGGCCATTAAAACGCTTTTTCATTAGATTTCTAGCGAGAAGTGTATATTGTACTTTTAGAATCCACGTCCAGTCGATATGTAGGATCTATAGTTTGATAGATATTACGAAGATGATTTGAGGTCTCGACAGGAGAACGTGTATATGCGGTAGCTTCCATGTAAAGTTACGGGTTGAAAACAGTATTTCCGGTGTCAAAGTTTTCATAATAAAACCAATGATCAAATGATTTAACAGTGATATCTGCAGTACTCATCCACTAAAAAACATCAGTTTATCCTTGT